GTTGACAACACTTTTGTCTGATCTGAATTGACGTATTTTGTAAAAAAGAGCCTGCGTCTCATAACGTTCACGAGCGACACTATTTTCTTTGTTTTTTGAGATAGTGATCCAGTAAAGTCTTCGTGACGTTGTCAGTCAGCATTTGTGTATGCGTTACTGACAAGCATTTGAAGCAGCCGGTCCATCCAGCTTTTTATCGAAACAACCGACCAATAAGGTCATAACCCCTGAATGTGCCGTGGTGTACAAGTAGCGACGCACACACACACGCACGCACACGCCCACGCGCATATATATATATATATATATATATATATATATATATATATATATACATACATATATTATCAGAGTCAGTCTAACCAGAGCACGCAATTTAAGCCCATGTTCATATCCACAGCACGCACCTTGCCAGGGGTGTATCCACAGCATGCTTTTGATAAACGTACAAGCAGTGAACTTCACGGGTGGGATGTATCCATGGCTACCCACTACCCGTATAGAGGGTAATGGGTCTGGTTGGGTGCATGGTTCTGGAAAATGACGTGTCTGAGCACGAGTATGGGCAAGACGTTTATGAAATCTTAGGCAAATACTTAACCAACGATTTCACAATGTAGCTGCTCGCGTTTCCTCAACGCGCGCTCGGGTGGGCGGTAAAATTGACCTCCCCGAAGGTTTTTCCAAACTGGTTTCCGAACGGCGCAGCATAGCCGCGCCAAATTTTGCATAGTTGTGGATAATTGAATAGCGGATTGTTTGGTATACAACATTAGATCTAGCTTGTAAGGTCACTGACCTATGGCCGGTCAAAGTCAGGTCATGGTTTCAGCGAAGGCAATTTCTAGGGAATCGTTCAATCTGATGCAACATTGGAGTGTTAGACGAGAGCGCTCATCCCTGGGAAACTTTCTTAGGCAATACAAATATTGAATGAGTAAATTATGTTGACCTAATGTCAGGTATAAAGGTCAGACTAAGGTCAAAACCAACTTGCCTTATTGCTCTAGGGCTTGATGTATGGAACAGTTTCTGGTGTTCATTTCGAATTCATTGATTGCAGGAACCGCATTATGCGTCTTCAATGGGCTTCTCGGGGATCAAAATAGGTCATTGACCTAAAGTGACCCAGTTCAACATTTTGTTTTTAGAGCCATACTGCCTAGCGTAATCTTTGTCGCTTATTCAAATGCAAAACTCAGAGCAGTCTTGTATGATTCTGGTCACCATGACTTTAAAAAAGGCCAAACAAGGTCACTAAACTTAGATGCGCACGCGACCTTTTGTTCAGAAACAGTTATCTTGGTGCTGGGGACGCTTTGAAGACCAGCTTGGAATTTGACCTTGTTTGACCTCATTCCATCCGAAGGTCATAACCTAGCAACGTCAAATTTCGAGCTAAGTGAGTTCACGTACAGATCAATACACCCTGTAAATTTGGTGTTTCTAGCTTTCTTAGTTCTCAAGATCTCAGGGGAGTGATATTGACCCCCTCCCGAGCGAAGGGTATCTAGCCGGCCACCCAGGCGCGTGTTAAGTCATAAGTAACTCCACTCCCTGTAGTTCTTAAACTATGAGCGCAAAAGGCGAGTTCGGTTGTAAACTTTATTCAAGGTCGTCCATGAGTTATTCTCAAATGCTCGACAAATACAAACAGGTGGGTGCCGTGGGTACAACTTATTGGATGTGGGTAGCGGATGGGCACGGATGAAGCGCCATGGGTTGTAGTTGGAATGGGTGAAGGAAAGCGCACTCTTGAAAGCCTCTACGCAGAAGCTTTATGAAACAGGGGGCGGAGTAGTTGCACTGTCTCTGGTCTATTTATATCTAAAATATTGGTCCAATTTACCACCACGCGCGTCTGTAATTCCTTAGCAATTTTTGGATCTTTGCAATGAACAGGTTTTCCACAAATGTGACTATCACAAACGCGCTCACACACTCATTCTGGCACCCAAAATTGCATCGAAAAAGCATCTGCATTTTAATTAAGGTACACCCAAATATAAAACATTCTTCAAACTCTTTCAGGATAACCGTCCTCGACGTCTCCCCTAAAACAGCTTGGTAGATGCCCTCCTGTTATTAACGCCTTTTCACCGTTTGTCTCAACGAGCATGTACTGCAAACGTGTGGCGTTTCAAGGGACATCGTTCTCAGTTGTTGTGCCTCCGAACGAAAAGCAGCCTTCACCCACATCAGTTTAAATGTGTGGCAAGCGGAACACCTCACGCCGATGTCGCTAGTTGAGCTGGCTCTCCAGTTGTCATGGTTACATGCTTGTGTACGTATACCGGTCGCTTATGGAGCACACCCACGCTCAGTCAGCCTATCTCCGGACAGCACGGACAACGATGATACTTTTGAAGGTGCGCTATCACGGGTCCAAAAGCAGCAGCATATGAGGAGCGCCCGCTACGCCCACAACAGTGATGCAGTGGAACACAGTCGGCAGCAATGACGATTGCAATGTTTGATGTATGAGGCTTCTTAGCACCAGATGACGATGACGCCAAGGTGCAGGTGCGATCCCTGGGAATTTGTGCGCAATCGCATGACGGTGTGACGTCCAAAGCAGGTTTGCATGACGCAAAACACCCATGGTTTTGCACCTAACTGCGGTGAGGAGTCGATCACGGTGGACCTGCCCGGGAAGAGGCTTCTGGTGTGCTGACATGCTCCAAATAACGAATAAATACCTGGGACTTCGATAGATTCCCACTCATCCCGTTGTATACTAACCAGTTGCACCATGATTCAAAGGCTTCCTGCATGACTCTCCAAGTTCGTTCAGGCTTCAAAGGTCTTCTGTGACAAGTACTTGGCAGTCACCCACGTACTATATAAGCTTTGTGGCACCAGCGTAACGGTTACGCTCATTTTTGAATATACTGAAAGTGGGATCTATGAACGAGCCTTGACACTCGCAAGATCTGACGTCGTATTTGGTATGAAAGCTGCTGTGACTAATCGTTTAGTCACCGTGGTAACGAGCCACGGAATCTCAATTCTTCTACCACCGTGTGGTGACTACTGTGATGTGAAATACGCCATAAGCTGCCAACACACCAGCTTTCTTTTCTAGTCTATGCACCACGGAAATGGGTGAAATTAGTTCGAGATTTCTCAACGTGTCTAGATAGACGTCGGCTCCACAACAGGCTCAGCCCCACGGCTCCACACCCACTTCCATGACAGAACTCCAGAGACAGTATAGAGGTCGGCTTCACGGCTCCTCATCCACTTCCATGACAGAACTCCAGAGACAGTATAGAGGTGGGCTCCACGGCTCCTCGCCCACTTCCATGACAGAACTCCAGAGACAGTATAGGAGTCGGCTCCACGGCTCCTCACCCACTTCCACGACTGAACCGCAGAGACAACATAGAGGTCGGATCCACAAGTGGCTCAGCTCCACGGCTCCACATCCACTTCCGTTACAGAACCCCAGAGACAATGTGAGGTCGGATCCACAAGTGGCTCAGCTCCACGGCTCCACATCCACTTCCGTTACAGAACCCCAGAGACAATGTTGAGGTCGGATCCACAAGAAGCTCAGCTCCAGGGATATGTGATCTAAGATATGTAAGCAATGTAGGCTTAAGCCAGCACTGAATGCATAATATGCATGTCATGTAGGTTTAAGTCAGCATTGGGGAGGGGCATAGACCTCCCAAAAGCATACAATGTGACGCCTCTGCGCTTTGGATATTGAAGATCACAACTCGCTGTAAGCAATTTGAACCCACAACGCAGTTTCCAGCATAAGTTACGAAACAAGTGATGACTTTCGCATCTATTATCGTCACATCTGTTGTCCCGCGCCACACAAGACGACTTACTGGTTTCCGAAGTCATTGAAATCATTGTCTGCCAAAAAATCCAGCAGAAAGAGCCAGATACTCCGCATTCAGACAAACAGGCAGGTGAAATTAGCGAGTCGCCGGTGGCAGCACCTGAAATTAGAACGATTGTGAAGGCATACTGTGAACCAGAGATCATGGCAATTAATACCTGACAACTACGTTCAGACTACATTAGACTTCGGCTCATTTTGAGTGTGTCGGATTCCGTTTGGCTCCGCCTTGCGAGAAACCTCTTCATTTGGACTGGATCTGAAGTTTCGTACTCGGCCCGACATCAACTTAAAAATTTCACTAGCCGTTTCTTACCCCACTAGCAATGTAGAGTCCTCCAAGCCGGCTGCTCTTATCCTGAGGTTAATTTGTCATTCCCTTTCCGCGACGGCCGGCTTACAAGCTATATCATTGTTTCCAAAGCACACTGAACGTTCAGCGATTGTTTTATTGTATTATATCTCTCGGAACTCTTCGCAGTGTCGGGGATCCTTAGATCCTCTCAAAGACCACTTGGTGATCACTGGGCCATCAAACATTCTGCACTTGGCTTGGTCCCACCACTAACCACATCAGGGGCACGCATTAGTTCAACTTGTCTCACATCATTGAACGGCGTCTCGGTTGCTGTAACGTTGTGTGTAATGACGATCTTTTATCACTTTGGCCAGTGCCGTGTCCGTATCATTATCCGCGGGACCCTAATTCGTCTCAATTTCGACGTGCCCAGTACATCTGAAAGTTTGGGAGTTCATGCGAGCATAAGTAATGGAACTCCTTTTTCTTCCTTGGACCCGTTTACCACCTTGACGTCCACGTAACGACCTAGCGCATGATCTCAGAAGATGGATGTCAGGTAGCTTACTTCGCGAGTCTGTTTACCCCAGAGAAGGTAAGAATTAGTCAACTCAGTTAAACTCGTCGTTCACGCATTCTCACCACCAGACACATGCTACGAAAATCTGACCCACCGCTTGCAACTGCCAGCCAATCTCTCCGGTCACCTGTTGCAAAGTGACGTCAGGGACCCACGTCATCGTCGACCGCCTTCTCCGCGCCGTGATTGGCCGGCGTCGGTCGTGACGTCCTCGGGGGGCCCCTATAAGAATATGATAGCCGCGGAGGAATACCGGTAGCTGGCTGGAGCGAAGGAAAGGCGCGTGGAGATCTGTCTCACTGGTGAACGGAGACCCCGGACAACTCGCCGCGCACTCTCGAGGTACGCACCCAAGTCGTCTGTGTATTTCCACTACTGATTAGAATCGGAATATTGCCTGGCGTACAGGCGCTTTAGCAGAACTTTGTCACTAATGAAGAGCGTTATCAAACATTGCGTAATCAGCGACGACTCAACAAAAAAGGCCTATGCCGCATCTTCGTACCGAGAAGGGCATGCCCCTCCTTCCCCTCCCCACAGTCGCCTGAAATTTTACAGACCTCTGTAAATATTCCACTTTTGCTTCAGGCCGCTATGAGGCAAAGACGCAAACCATTATGCCTGTTTTTCGTAAAGGTACCTGCATTGGAATTATGTTGAATCGGGGTTTCATGGCCATGGCTCAAAACCTAATGACGTAAGCAAGATGTTAAAAAAGTTGAAAAGCTACGAAAAAAAGTTACGAAACCGTGTGCTGCGTTATCTCCCTAAAAATCAAGCTGAATAGCTTTATCTAAACATATGGTGTCGACCCAACCCAGCGCCCGTCAGTCATAAACTCGATGCTTTCGCATAGACTGGAAATAGGGGCAAGGGCTATATGCGGTTATCACTTTAAGATATTTGCCCCAATACCGTTTTTTTGGGTAATAATGTGTATTTCAGACGAGCAGTAGTCCAGCAGTTCTTGCTGTTCCAGCTGTTCGGATCCCATGCATTCGGGTACATATGACAACATTTTACCCACTCGTCATGCAGCGCTGTAGAACTGATGCTAGCTTTGTGCGAAGCTAGCGAAAGACGTCAGGCGGGGAGGGAAGGCGCAATTGCCCAATGGCTCCTGATTTGTGAGCTCCCAGATCCGTGCGTCAATGATCCAGTAAAAAACAGATAAAGCAATTCATTACATCACTTAAAGTCACTCTTCAAGACTCAAGCAGCTGTTTAGCTTCCGAAGGTTAAACAAATTGTGTAAGTTTCGGAAGCTAAACGGTTCCTTAAAAGGATAAATGTTATTGCAATAGCATCCATCAAGTATTCTATTTTTCCCAATGCCTAGCTCAGCTAGAGATGTGCTTTGTTGATTTCATTTAATTTCCGAAGTCTCGTGGCGTGCATTTTTCTCATCGAATCTGCAGCACTTAAAATCATATCTTTACCAGCCAATCACGCGGCAGTCGGCACATCTGACCAGCGATATCATTTCTGACACGTGAGCATCGAAGCAAGCCTTGCCGAACGGCATTCAAGGTACGATCCTGATTTTCTTCATGAATTAAAGGATTTTTCAACATTGGCTAACGGCTTACGCGGCATCCTGCGGCCGTCGTGACCATGTCGTCACATCACGGCCGTCGTGACCATGTCGTCACATCACGGCCGTCGTGACCATGTCGTCACATCACGGCCGTCGTGACCATGTCGTCACATCACGGCCGTCGTGACCATGTCGTCACATCACGGCCGTCGTGACCATGTCGTCACATCACGGCCGTCGTGACCATGTCGTCACATCACGGCCGTCGTGACCATGTCGTCACATCACGGCCGTCGTGACCATGTCGTCACATCACAGCCGTCGTGACCATGTCGCCACATCACGGGCTCTTAAACGATGTCATTACGTATTGAACGGTCGGGTTGGCAACAGACGGAATGCTATCTGTCGTGTCGATAAGGCCCGGGGTGTCATTGTAATGAACTACTGAGCCATGTCAGTTGCCTATTCCATACTCATTGACTTACTGTAGCTTGGGAATACATGACAGAATTCAGAGCACCTTCAGAAACATCGAACGCCATTTAAACGATACTCTTTCTTCACGTTATGGCCGGAGGCTACGGCCCACGTTGAAATTGATCAGTACGAACCTGAATGGAAAGATCATGCCAGCCCGGAACATGCTAATCCCAAGCGCCTTTTGAAAAGTTTAGTGTTAAGCAATACAGTCTATTCAACTGAAGCTGAGCGAAATCCTGAACTTGGATCTAGTGGCCTCATGAAGAATACAAGTTGCACGGTCAGTCTGCAAGGTCTTTATTTTTCGTCCATGCACGTTTTTCTTTTATTTTGCGTGCTGCTGCCGAATGAATGGCAGCTTTCACGACATGGCAGCAGCAAAATGGCAGCTATCACGAAGCAATTGGTGGCATTCATGGCCGTCGTGTAGACACCAGCACGTGGATCTCTCACTCGTGAGAAACTCGACTTTGGTAAGCTAGGCTTCAATAGCAATTGTCTGCCAATTTACGGGTACGTATTGCCCTGTTATCTTTTTATTGCACGGTGGGGAAAACTCTTAGGATGAAGCCTCGCTCTGAGATCAAAAAGATGTTGTGAGGTATCAAACCCAGCCTTTGATCCCCAAAAGAGAATCTACAGCGTAATCTGGTCACGTGCCTTGGGTCGTAATCTGCAAAGCCCGATTATTCCTGGCAAAATATGACAGAGAACCTTACGGAAGTCATGTTTCAGACCAAGCTAGGTGCACTTCCTCTCGTGCTGATGCCAAGTCAAGTGAAGTCAATGGGTTAACAGTCTATGCACTAAAAGCTGAATTTGACTCGGAAATTAGTCACATAGAGACCAAGATCCTCACTTTAAAGGGAATGCTCTACATCAGAAAGTAATGAAGCAAGGGTGAAGTACGATGAAATAAGCCCTCTCATAGCCATTTGTATACTTTTAAGTGGAAAAGATTGCTACAGATAGCACAATTTTTTTTTATATAATAACTATGTTCTTATTTCGTCATGAAACGTTTGTATGCCAGACCTGCCTTGCGACTCTTTGATCTCCCGAGGGGCGGCCTGCGGCGGTACTGGACGTGTGCTGATCCAAATATTGTTGGTGGTTCATCTTTTGGCCATTTCTCGTAGTGTTCTTGCATATTTATATGTGAGCTTAAAGCTCCTAGTTGTATTCACGTGCTCGGGCATAGCGTTATTCTTCAGTCTGCTCCGATTACAATGCTTGTTTCCGTAATAACTATGAAGAAGCCATAATTATCATGTCATGCATCACAAAACGTGACTTGTATTGTTCATCTGACCCTCTTATCCTCTTTTTCGTTTTATCCTGAATCCTTGCGACGCCCCGCTTGTCCAGAGCAGCTTACATGCTCCAGCCACGAGTTGGCCGGGAGGCTTCCTGGGGCGGACGCGGGCAGGGCGCCCAGCGCACACCCCGCAGAAAATATAGTTGTCGAGCCGTTCACATCTGGCGTTCGTGAGCATGATTCCCAGATAAAGCGGCCGTCAATTCGCTCTCAATAAACGTTGTGTAGGGCACGATGGCACAATCAAACAAGGACGTATTGAGAAGCATATTTGCTAAATAGAGGCATTGCTTTGTTTAGAGCAGTCTTTCCCACTTAACAGCATACCAATAGTTATCGGTGAGTTTATTTCATCATGTGTGATGCTTGCGTCAATACCTTAGCAAATGTACACCGTTCGCATTAAGAAGAGTAGGGCTGTAAATTGCACCGAATTATCTTCAGGATGGCTGTTTCAGGTCAAAACCCCGTACAAATGTGAAACACTCACTTTAAGCATCGATCATGACGCATTTGAGCAGCAAGCATACATAAGCGGCGTGCTGTGCTAAGTGTCTCAGCTGTAAGTTCATACTTCCTTACACAATGGCGGCACCTGCCAACATCACCCAGTCGAAGAGCAGATAGAAAAGCTGCTTGTTCTCTGTGCAATACCCACGGTCATACGTTACAGACTATAGCGTGCACCATGTAACCCACAGCCCGCGCAGGCTAAGTGATTGTCCCATCAATTACCGTTGGAATGTGCTGCCGAATCTCGAGTTTCCTTTTCAAAAATCGTCGATTGAAACAGCCGAGGAAAAACAGGATGAGGGAGTTGCGGTTAAACTATGGAAATGTAAAAAGGTAGACCGGCCTGGTACGTTGCAAAAGTGGATATTTTTACAAGCACCGACCGCGTGCTCATGACTTTTAGCCAAAGAAAAGCTCAACTCTTTAAGCGTAGCAAGGCAAAACTTGCCAGACATTTGCATACGAGCTGTTCGACCGAGAATAATTTGTATGCGGCATTGAACATTCATGTTATTTGTTTTCTTCTATTCCTTAAACATAGACAGGGTAAAATGTTCAATGTGAGAAAAAAATAAACACACGTTCGAGACCGGATGAAATATTGGTGCCCCAGCATCGCCGTAATATGACATTAGTGAAATGTAACGAAAGTATGCAAAAGATGTAAATAAAGTGAAAATCTACATATTATGTTATATGTTGCGAGCTACCACCATCCGCAGGCGGGTGGTAGTGAATACCTACCAGCTAACATTATGCAAATTATGCGCAGCGAAGCTGCCAAGCGAATGATTGATAATTAGGAGTAGGCTGCCCCTCGACCTGCGATGAATGCTTTACAAACTTATTGCTACATTTTCTGAACCGATCTGAAATATAAGATGCTGTGAACTAAACATAACGTCTAAATCATAAACCAGTTAGGTTAACCCTAGGTTGAGCCATGCGGCATAGACAATCGTGCCCGTTTCAGTGCCAATAACATTCCACCAATATATTACGCACTCCGCAAAACTCAAGTCATAATTGCAAACACCGTAAGCCACTGTCAATACGTCACTCATCGACCGAAATTGCCGGGTTGGGTCAACTCATAGGAAACCAATTTTCGACCAACGTTAGTTGTGACCTCTCACGAGTAGTACATCAGTATACATCGGTCAGTTAAATATCGCTTGCCTTTATCATATATTTTTTTTAAAAATCTTGTAGCATATTTCTTTGTTGTGTTTTCACAACAAAATATATCTTTACTTTTCAGTATCCTTTGTCTGTTGCGCTTCATGTTATCTTCAGTCTTTTTTTCAACCATCTATTTAATATTGTTTTCGTTTAACACTCTCAACACATTGATTAAACCCGTTGACATAACCTGCTATGGTGGCCTGGCTGCTGATGCTTAGTTTTTGGCATCATGTAAGTTACGCCACTTTATCGCTCCTGCATCTGCTATCGCCTCAACCATCCCGCGCCGCACAAGATGCGTCATAG